AGTTTCTATCGTGTATACAAAAATACACAATTTACAAAACAACTTTACCGATGAACATTTCTACTGGACGATTTTCTTTTTGAGTTATTACAGAACGGTTAGTGTTAAACCAAAAAATTGTATATTGGCGTTGACTTTATATAAATGCAGGTACATTTCGAGTAGATGTATGACGCAACCTTTAAGGTTTACATCATTATGCATTTTCTAAGACAATATATTTACAGACCTCAGTATCAGCAGCAATAAGTAAAATTCACAAAATAAAAGAAATCTCAAAATGTACAATGTACCTTGTGTACCTTGTGTAAAGAAAACCAGACACTGCATTGTCTATCATAAATAATTCAGAAACTAACAGGATATTTTATTAAGACTTATGGACGTATTAACTGAATATTATAAACTATATACATTTGCACATGTTCTTTTAATATTTACTACATTTTCCACGCTACTTTGCATACATAACATCCTTACAATATAAAAAAGATACATAAATATTAAAGTATGCATTCATTTAGCCTTTTGATACAAAAGTTCAGTTCTAAGTAAAATAATTACCCCATCTAGATATAAATTGAACTTTCGTCTTATTACTTTCTATTACTTCGGGGAATCAACTATGAATATAAAGGTAACAATATTATGCTTTTCTTTTTCTTTTAATATTTAAAAAGACTATGTGCCATACACATGTATGGATAGGTAATGTTATATTGTTTGCTTCATGGCAATGTCTACTTATAGGAATCACTTTCATTCTTCTGTCTTTAGAGGGGTCATCCATTATTTCTAATTAGTCCTTAAATATAAATAAACTACCCGTAAATATAAAATAAAGACACTTACACATGCAAAAAAAGTTGCTTAACAGTTAATGTTGGGTGATACATCTCTCTCCGAAGAATCATTCTAAGGCATCCAATGATTTCCAACTTGCAGGTTTTATGACGACGTGTATAACTTATTTCTTTTCAAACCTTGACCTCTGTTGTCTCTTTTATTTAGAATTCACTGGGCTATAACACATCACCCACCTTTAATTCAGAAAATGAACAAATAACAGCAGCACGCAACGCACATTTTTCACGATAGGCTGGCATCTAAACGACCCCTCTTCCACGCACACACACAGTTTAAAGTCTACTGCTACGTCATTTATATGTAACAAAGTAATCAGCCATAATTTTACTCGGATACAGCTTAAAGAACAGGGAAGCGCTAGTGTTAACGCAAAATCCCTAATTCATTAAAAACTAATTATCTCCAAACATCGTAGAACATAAACCAGTATGGACATTTTTTTGTCTCTAATCTTGGTAATAATGCAATTGTCTTTAAAAAAAATATATACTACTTTCTAATTAAAAACGTCGTACAAGTCGGATATAAAAAAAGTAACAAACGAAACGGACTGGTAACAACCTGCCGTATTATTTTTCTGCACTCGTAGTCAGGTTAATGTCCTCGGCTATCGCATCGTACCTTAACCTGACTACTCGTGCAGAAAAACTATACGGCAACGGTTGTTACCAGCCTTTTCTTTTGTTACCTTTTTTCTGTATCTTATACTTAATATTTACATCATTTTCCAAGCGACTTTGCATACATAACATCCTTATCAAATAAAAAAGATGCAATATATCAATACATAAATGGTAAATATGCATTCATTTACACTTATGATACAAAAAGTTTAGTTGAGAGAATAATACTTACCTTATTAAGATATAAATGTGATTTGCATCTTATTTCTTTCCTTTACTTCGGGGGAGTCAGCCATGAATTTAAAGGTAACAGAATTATGCTTTTCTTTTTCTTTCAATATTTAAAACATTTTGTGACATACATTTGTGTATGGATAGGTGATGTAATATTGTTTGCCTTCGTATCAACGGCGACACAAAGAAATCAACACCCTTCAATATAAAATATAGAAACTTGCACAAACAAAGAGTTGCACAACGGTTAAATGTGGATGATACATCTCTTTCCGAAGAATAATCCATATACATCCAAAAAATACCAACTTGTAGGTGTTATGATGACGTGTATAAAATATCTCTTTCAAAACCTTGAACTCTGTTGTTTCTTTTATTTAACATTCATTGAGCTATACAATATCACCTACCTTTACGTCAGAAAATGAATAAATAACAACAACAGGCAACACACATCTTTTATGTTAGGCTGGTATCTATACGAACCCCTCCTCCCCCACACGCACAATTTTCAGTTTACTCCGACGTCACTGATTTGTAACTAAGAGATCAGCAATAGTTTCACTCGGTGTCACGGACACAACTTTAAGAACAGAATCCCTCATCTAATAAAAACTAAATATCCCCAAACATTGTTGTACATTAACCAGTATGGACATTTTGTTGTGTGTCTAATCTTTGTTATTATAAAATTGTCTTAAAAAATGGAAAATATACTACTTTCTAATTAAAAAACTCATACAAGTCAGATGTAATACAACAGTAACAAACGAAACGGCTAGTAACAACCCGTCGTATAGTTTTTTCTAGACTCGATGTCAGGTCAATGTCCTTGGCTATCGCCTGACTAATCGTGCAGAAACCCTGTACGGCGACGGTTGTTATATAACCAGTCCTTTTTTTTACATAATACTTAATATTAACAACATTTTCCAAGCGACTTTGCATACATAAAAAGATACTATAAACCAATACATACATGGTAAAATATGCGTCCATTTAGCCTTTTTGGGTGCAAAGAAATCAATTCAAAGTGTAATACTTACCTCATTAAGATAGACATGTAAATTTCATCTTATTTCTTTCCATTACTTCGGGGAATTTGCTATGATTTTAAAGGCAACACTATTATGCTTTTCTTTTCCTTTTAATATTTAAAACATTATGTGACATACACAAACCCCGCCGCATTTTTGAGCCTGTCCCAAGTCAAGAGCCTCTGGCCTTTGTTAGTCTTGTATGTTTTTTAAATTTTAAATTCATTTATATCTTTTGGAGTTTAGTGTGACGTCCACTTTCACTGAACTAGTACACAATTTTATTAAGGGGCCACCTGAGGATCACCTCCAGGTGCGGGATTTTCTCGCTGCGTTGAAGACCCATTGGTGGTATTCGGCTGTTGTCTGCTCTTTGGTCGGGTTGTTGTCTCTTTGCCATATTCCCCATTTCCATTCTCAATTTTATAGGTAATGTAATATTGTTTGCCTTCATAGCAATGTAGACTCATAGAAATCACTACCCTTCTTGTGTCTTCGAAGTCGTCGTTCGTTATTTTTAATTAGCCTTTAAATATAAAATGAAATACCCTCAAATATGAAATAAAATAAGTTGCACAAACAACGAAGACTTACACAATGGTTAAAATAACATGTCTTCCATGGAAAGCTGTCACAAAACTTAATACAGATATCATAGATTTGGTCAAAACTTTAACTGAATTTCATAACAAATATAGAGATTTATTTTGAACGTTGGATTCCACCTGCATGCATTTTAAAAAAATGTGTTTTTCAACACGTTTCTGTTTACAATTACATTAAATATAAAGCTTACAAGAAGATCGTCCTTTAAATTATTTGTTGCTTTATTTTAATAGACTTATTAAAAAAAAGTTATAACTAAATTGTAAATTTTCAACCCCTACGACTTTTTCAGAGGTTGGGGGTAGGTGGTGCTGAATTCGCTTCCGTATAGGTATACTGAAATGATGTTTGATTTTCTATATTGAAATATTTTTTTTTTTTTTGCATTACCCATTATCGTGTCTTTCTGAACTATTGATAACGTTGACACATGCAATCTTTTATGAAGTAAAATCATTGATATAAAATTATAGTTCGGCATATTTGCTGATTGAGTACTACGAACTTGCTTCAAGTAACTGTGAACATTCTTTGATACTGTATCATTATGTATATTCAGTTCATGCCACTAAAATTCAGAAATTTTCAGATTTTTGTATTCAATCAAATAAAGTAAAAAGGGGCTATACATCTCAGTTTCTTCTAACAATGTGGTTAATATCACAGCAGTCTTTATAAAAACTTTAAATATTGAATATATTGCGATATTACATAACCATACATATGGATAGTACTAGTATCTTAAAAAAAGAAAAAATAGACAATTTATACTTAATCATCATAGTTTCAAGGAGATAAAAAGGGCGATTTATTTTCCAAAATAATGCCAATAAATTAGAATTGAACCTTTACTAAAAAACACCTATGTAATTGTTTGTTTTGTGTGTCTTTTTTTAAGAAGGGGCGAGTTCTTTCGTATCGTTTTGTTTTCTTTGTTATCTTTTTTCTCTTTTTTTGTTTTAGTTTTTTTTTTAATTTTTGTTTGTTTGGTTTTTTTCGTTTTCAGGACTCTTTTTGGACTGGAGGAAAATGGAACTATAGTGCAACAGTGATTAACACTCTCATACCTGGTTTTCTCATCCTTTTTTTTTTTTAAAGTCAAAATTTTAAATCCGAAAAATCTCAAAAAGAATTTGAAATCTGTATTGATAATGTTTTAGTTATGGCCCTTGGAAATGAAATAATATGGACCATTCTTGGGCATTATTATCTTAATGGGGGTTAAACTCCTTGGAATTGTAAATCATATCGATGAAAATCGACGCTGCAAGTGCTGGTAAGCATACATTTATAACAACAGTAAGACGATACTAAACGGTTAATAAAAAACCATTAATCGCTGAAAGATAACACCATGCATATGGTAAAAATGAAAATAGTCGAAAATAAAAAAAATAAAGAAAAAAATAAAAACTTTACAAATCACTCCAAAGACTGCTTAATATTGTGCGAGATACATACGAATCCTATAAAACAGGAGAATTAACTAAAGTCCGCAGGAAAATTTGGCGGTTCTTGCTCCGCTAGAAACACCCATTAGTTAAATATTGATTTATGGTATGCATTGTTATCTAAAATATGTAATGTTATGTTATATTTTCTTTCCTTTTTTTTTTTTTCTTTTCTCAGACATATTTCATTCTGATCTCACTATTGGTTTGTGTAATTTGTGATGTTAAACGAGCTTCGATTCCAACAAGTCTAAGACGATGTTTACACACAAGAGATCGATACTTTCCTATGACCGATGAACAAATAAGCACTACTTGCTTGTTAGAATTTCTGTGGTTGAATCGACAAATATGTGACAAGGTGTCTAAACTAACATTTGATTGGCTTGCGTCACTTGTTGAAAAATCACAGCAGCGAGTAAGCTTGACACCTTTACATGCAAGTGTTCATTCAATTACAAGATCTGAACCACAAACGACAATAATGTCACTACCAAATACTTCAACACCTACGCCACTTAAAGAAACTTTAACGACAACATCTACCAAAAGACACATGAAAAAACGACAAACTTCAACGACCACCTCTCTACCACATTTATCAACCAAAATCTCTCAACCACAATTGTCAACAACAACGTCACAACCACAAACGACAAGATCGCAATTAAGACAGCGCAAAGAGTACAGAATGCTTACTGACCAGGAAAGGGATGATTATCATAAGGCCATTAACGACTTAAAGCGAGACACTGTAAGTATCAAATTCAAGATTGATAGTAAATAGAAGTATTCCTTATTCTTTTACTTTGATAATTTTTTTATGTGCAAAGTCAATTATTGCACATCTGTATTAAAATTGAGAATGGAAATGGGGAATGTGTCAAAGAAACTACAACCCGACCATAGAGCAGACAACAGCCGAAGGCCACCAATGGGTCTTCAATGCAGCGAGAAACCCCCGCACCCGGAGACGTCCTTCAGCTGGCCCCTAAACAAATATGTATACTAGTTCAGTGATAATGGACTTCATACTAAACTTAAACTACACCACATTCATGTTCTGTCTTTTTACCAGCTAGTTTGTTTTTATACTGCTCTTATATGTCTATGTCCATTGTTATACCCGTTGGGTAAATACTGTATTATTTCTAAGCATGTTCAAGTCAAATAGTAAAAACATTGCGTAATTTTGCCATTTTACTTAATTGACTGTCATTGTTTTGCTGTACAACCAATGAAAATGCTTTTTAACCAAAACTGCAATATTGTATTTAAATATATACAATTTTCAACGTTAGACTCTGAAAATCAGAGAAATTTTTTTGAGATATGTTTCCTTGTAGGGCAAATTAGACCTCAAATCGGACTTCTCAATTATCATCAAATTTAAATTTTAAAAAACAAAGACTTTTCTTTGTATATCTCCATGTCTTCATTTTTATAATCATTGTCTTTGTTATAGAATAACGCGAGCAAAACGCAGTACATCAATGCTAGGTAAGATATAAAAAATGCTTAAAAACAATTCGTAAGTGTCAATCAACAAATACAAAATAAGTGGAGAATCTACAATTTAACTATTTTTGTGATAAAGTCATATTTAAAGCATTACATAAAAATCAATATAAATAGGTAGAGTTAATTTCTCGTAAATGTATTACACCACATCCCAAGCGACACTTCATGCTGGGTATGGAATTTTTTTTATGGATTTGCCCTCGCTAAACCCAAACAATTGAATGCCAAGAACGTATAAAACATTATTTGGGGAGCAAAATAGCCTATAGCAAATAGCCAATTCCACATAAAGTCATATAAAAGTTCTGCAAATCTTTACGAAGTACTTATTTCAGGTACACCGAGACCCCCAATGACGTTATAATCCATTCTGATTGCCTGCAATCATATGCAGTTTTGTTATTATTTTTTATGTGTATGTTAACTTTGAAGATCTAGGTTCATTCACGACAAATTCAGCTAAATACCCAAAATTGTAAATGCGTCAAAAATAACGACTATAAAATAAGGAGACCAAAAAAAACCAAGTTGACGGAAGATAGACAATGCAAATATGCCCATTAGATATACAAGGCATCAAAAGTTTAACGCCAGACACGTGTTACGTCTACAAAAGACTCACCAATGACACTCGAATCAAAACATTTAAAAGATTATATAAGATTCGAAGTTGAAGAGCATTGAGGACCAAAATTCCGTAAGGTTTTGCCAAATACAGCTAAGGTAATATACCATGGAGTAAAAAATTATCAGTATTTCGAAAAACTGAATGTTTTGTAATGAGTAAATTAATAATTATGATTATATCAATGATAATTCATGTCAACATAGAAGGTCTGTGTACTGGGCTGGTGATACCCCCGGGTAGGAAACTTTCATCAGCAGTGGCATCGATTCAGTGGTTGTATATAAAATTTGCATGGCTAAATTAAAAATAAAAAGAAGAACAGACAAACGACAGTTCACAGAATTTAGAAAACTAAAGATTGAGTAACACGAACCCAACAAAAACCTACTAGTGGGCGAACATTGTCTGCTCCACTCATACGTCTTGTTACTCCTAACAGTGTAATTGCAAGTCAGAATTTCTAAGTTTGAAGTCTTAAATATGAGATCCTCTATTCACTTGATAAAGTCAATAATAGTCTACAGGTATTTACTATTGTCGATTTCATTGTTATTTATTACAATGTCTTTTATAGCCTTTGGATCGTCATATAACATTCCGTCAGAAATTATCTTAGTACTTATTCGAAAATATTTATTTTGCTCTAAAAAGGAACCAAAAGTTATGTAGATCCTTTAATTTTCTAGTCACTTTGCAGCTATTTAAAGGACCTAAATATGTACAGATTTATATAGCATAGAAAAAAAATTTATTTAGAGATACAGAAATTAGAAATAATCTTAAACAAAACCCCGAATAAGAAGTTTGTTGTCGTTCCCCTTGATATCGACTACAAATAATGGTATAAATTTATTCAAGAACCATTACATAGAAAATCTTTCATTTGTTAGTCACTTTCACGGACATCCTACATAGGTACCCATTTTGCTAACAACGCCTAAGCGCTTATTGTTTTTTTTTATGTAAATCACATAGCATAGCCTGGTTGATCAAAGAGTAGTTTCTGACGGTTCATTTACTTATCCAAAATATATATGTGTCTCTAATTACATAAAACTCTAGAAAACTTTTAAAATGTACCATTTCCTGTTGTATGAGAAGAGGTCTTTCGTTTATTATAGGTTAAGATCCCAGTTGAAACCCTTCTTTTTTGAATGCGGTTTTAAATAGCTGCTGTTGACAAGGAAAATTGTGAAGCATCATAAATGCTAACAAACAATATGGCTGAAGTGATAGCCTACATCGAAGATATAATTATGGCAATAACGAATCACAAACATTTGACAATTACAGAATAACAGAAATGTAAATTAATGCTTTTCGTCGTTGTGGTTTTAATTAGTTCTTTCTCTGTTTTTTTATTTATTTTCAATCTATAATCTATATGTTACATTTTTGTTGCTGGTACACATACATCTTAGAAACATTCTTGTTTGACCTGTTTTTTTTTATAGAGGGTTTAATTTTCATTTAGAATAACATTGAATTAGAAATATAATATAACATATAAGCATCAAATAAGTTTTTCAGCATTTTTTATATTTACTCAATCTTCAAGTCAATCTGATATCTATTTAACAGATATGAACAGATGATCTATATAATTTTTCAGAGTGTATCGCCAAATAAATATGATGCTCTCGCTGAACATCACCAAAAAACATCAGAGACGGCTCATGGTGGAGTAGCTTTTGGCGGTTGGCACAGATATTACCTATTTCTGTAAATATTTTTTTTATATACCGAACATATATTTACTTAAAAACAAAGCCGTCCCTTATATTTGAATATGTTACATATGTAACTTTAAATTACGGCATACTTTAAATGCCTGAAAAAAATATACATTTATTAAAACGGCTGAAAGATTCAGGCATTTCATATATTGACTTTTTTTTTCAGACATTTTAAAATTCCTGGAAAGAGGTAAAGGACTGAAATTATCGTATATAATGAAATGTTCATAAAATCTGAGTCACTAAAAGTATTAAACAACAAAGCAGTTTTTGTTAAGATATGGATTGATGGGTGTCCAATGGCGAATCAAATGCATAAACTGGACGAAAAATTGGTAATGTGATATGAATATAGACCCAACTTTGTTCAAGATCGACACACTGAACCGGATGTTTTAACGTGCTAGAAATGTCACCCTATTCTGACTCCAAGACGTCGACCAGTCTTTGCTCTTCTTTTGAATGGCGCATGCTTAGCGGAGAAGCAGCACATACTAACTTTCAAGTCTTTGGTTTGACCTTACTGATGATCGAAACCAAACGACATCCCGTACTCGAGTCGAGCCTACTACCATAACTATCTTGCACAAATGCCTTTATCCGAAATTTGTTGATATTTAAGGAAGTTTAAAGGTTAAAGCTATATTCAAGAAAAGTAATCAGACAAATATCATGGGATGTGACCTCTACGGCAAACTTTGGTTTCGAAGTAGTCTTTGGCTTTGTTCAATTAAATACTTTAGTATACTACATGAACTATTAATAATCTTGAACGCATAATCATATCAATAGTTTGATAAGGGACTTTCTGTTATGAATTGTCCTTGGAGTTCGGTGTTATGTTTTGTTATTTTACTTATTTCTGTATACGTATCGCTATCAAATCAGTGTTTTATCATCTGCATAAGGATCAGACAAGATATCTTTTTTTTTATTATTATTAAATTGTGTATTGTTATTCGAATAAAGCTCCAGCAAAGACTAGAGCTCCTGCAAAGACATCGTCATATATTTGAATTCAATTATAAAAAAATTCTGTTTCTATATCAAATTTAGGTATGAACTTGCTTTGCAAGAAAAGAACCCAAACGTCATGCTACCATACTGGGATTCCACCTTAGATAGTTCGATGGACACTCCGACTGATACTGTAATTTTTACGGATAAGTTTCTAGGAAATGCGTATGGAAATGTTACATCAGGACCATTTGGAGATTGGGAACGAAAAATACAACGATCCCTTCACAAGGATACATCGTTGCTAATCACGAAAAATGAATTGAGTCTGTTAATCAATAAGAGTAAGGACCAACGAGAATTCATGAGTACTTTAGAAATGCATCATAACGGCCCACATGTATGGATAGGTGGTACTATGGTAGATGTAGATCAAGCTCCTTTTGATCCTATTTTTTACATGCATCATGCATTTATTGATTGTATATGGGAGCGTTATAGAGTTCTTGAGAAACAAAGGGGCCAAAACCCGGAAATCTACCCAAGTGCAAAATCGGACAATCTAGCGCATCAATCCTCTAGCTTAATGGTGAATCTACCTCCTTTCAATAATGTTAATCTTACGAATGCTGATGGATATAAAAACTTTTGGACAGAAACTTATTATTCTTGTGCACCTCAACCATCGTGTACGGTCCAGAAACCAGCATGTGGATCAAAGTGGCTTGAATGTGACATATTTACAGAAAGATGTGTTTCTAAAGGCTCAGAAGCTGCCTTACCCCGCGTTACCCCTTCAGATGTTTTCAGAGTAAAGAACGCACGAGATCAAACATCTCCAACTATTCAACGATTTACTACAACTCCGCCAGCCACACAGTTTGGTCAATTATCAAGTCAGCCAAAAAGCAAAAGTAGAAAGATTACAGCTGATGAATTTTTCTCTACACTAAAATCATTGAAGAAGCTACCTCTCACTGTTCCAAAAACAAGTCCTCGAATCAGACGTAGTATGATGACAGGGCGAACTGGACAAAACGGCCGTACAGGAATACCTGGAAGACTTGGTCCTCCCTCTATCCTTATTACTCAACAGCTTCAACATAGAAAACTGTCTATTGACGGATTGAAAATACCAAAATTTAGGAAACCATGTTGTGGACATCCAATACAGAACTCTTTTAGAATGGATTGCAAAAAAGGAACAGATTTATGGGTATTTGTTCCAATCAAAGTTGTAAATCTACGACATGGTGATATAGTTTATTCGTCATATCCAGTTAATTCAGAAGGTCGTAGACTGAATAATACCGATGTGTTTTCTGTTGGCCAGCAATTATCATTTGCATCTAATTTACAATCCAAAGCACGTTCCAAACATAAGCCATGCAGCTACGACAAATCTGGTTTGTTTAAAGTTAAAATATCCTCTTATGGCTTAAATTATTATGGTATTTACGAAGATACAGTCTTTTTGGACAACAGACGCACAGTTTCCACTGAAATTTCATATCTTGGCATCAGAAATCCAGAGCAAAGGGCGACGAGGGTTTTCATCACTGCTGTTGATGAATGTGGAATTGCTTGTCAACCGATGATTTTGATGCGGGGTTATCGAACTCGTCATTTGCGATATAGGAAAAACCAAGGAGCTATTGAAATAACAACAAAGGGCCATAAGTATCACAGTAACACATATAGAGGTGCTGAGTCCTTGGTTTGGAAAGCAGACACATTTTCTGTTCCTCAACCAGATGAAAACCAGATTCCGATTGTATTTGTTTGTGATTATAGAAGTAAAATTCCATGGTCTTGAAACAAATATAGTCGTGTTGATATGGAACTTTTTCATGTCGTTCGTTTAAAACTTTTTCAGAAATTATATTTTGTACAGTGAGCACGTTTTGGGATGTTCTATGCATAACTCATATTTATGTTTAATGTTCAGTAGTCAGCACCTTTGTGATGACATGAAATATATAAACTGTTGTCATTATCTGTGTTTACTATTCATTAAGTATTATAATTGTTTGAAAGTTGTGCACATGATGAAATGTCTCACTTGCTTTGCTTGTCATCATTGAATTTATGTTAAAAGTATTTAAGATAAAGGTTAACTTAAACCCTTTACTAAATTTCACCATAGATACCAATATTTGGTTTGGAAGTTTGACTCAACCTATTTCAAACGGGATAACACATCATAATTTTTACGGTAATGATTCTACCGAGACCGGAAATTTAGATACTTTCCGAATAAACCTATCGATCCATCAAATAAACTTATTCTTAAAAGGTACCAATTCAACACTGTAATTAAATCTTTGAATTTTGTTTTAATTGGAATTGATATTGATTTTGTTATCGGCAAGTTAAAACCTGTTATACACATATGCCTTTCACTGTTCTAAAGTCTGTCAATAACTATATGTAGGCACTGCACAAGGTCATGTTTTCTCTGACTGCCAATGACGTATTTACACTAAATACATTGGATGTGTACTGATTGATATTTTAGTCTGAGATACATGATTTTTATAGTAGTTGTTATTGGTTTTGAACTAGCTGTCAGTCACTATGAGTACTCTGGAAACTTTAGAAAGGTTTGTTATAAATCATGTCATTACGGAAGGAAAAATTACTTCCATGTTACTCAAAGGAAGCTGTAGATTTGGTCCCATAAGCATAAGTATCACTATATAGAAATTAGAAATATAATATAGTATAATTTCAGTGCCATAAGTTACGAATAAAATTATCAGGTGCCCCAGAAAGCTCTGTAGACATTAAATTTATCAGTGTGGTATGGTAAACGATTTACACAATCTTAGATGAGTTTTTACACTTTAAATTCGAGTAATATTAGCTGAGCGAGAATATATACCAGAGCAATTACAGATCCAGACCGTTCAATAACCTTTTTCAAAGTCAAAGATTTATGAATATAAAATTTTAAATTTGGATTGTCATCAAACATTGAAACTACACAAGTTTTATTCATTATCCGGAGAACCTGAGATCATCCCCCGTTTTTGGTAGGCTCGTGTTGCTCAGTCCTTAGTTTTCTATGTTACATTCTGTATACTCTTGTTTGTCTTTTGGTCTTTTTCTTTTGTTTTCCATGGCTTTGTCAGTCTATTTAGACTTATGCGTTTTAATGTTTCTTTATTTTTTATTATAGTAAACAAGTATATAAAATTGAGAATGGAAACGGGGAATGTGTCAAAGAGACAACAACCCGACAAAAGTGCCAAAAAAAAATGGAATTTTTCAAGACAAAAAAGTAAACAATTATATAAAAGCACACAATTTTCTATCATTTTTACTGAGGATATGCATACTAACAAGAATTAATCTCTTAATTTGTGACATACTAATTTAAACTTATCAACAAATGTATATTTAAATGAACAACACGAAGGGTAGACATGTAAAGCAGAAATGCGTACCCTTCCGGAGCATCCTCCCATGCCCGGTCTGTGTTTTTGCTAGACGTTTTTCTGCACTGTATCGATCTGATGAGTTCAGCCCTTTTTCAACTGTTTTTTATAGTTTTTTCCTATGTTGTACTGTTACACCATTATCCCAGATTAGGAAGAGGGCTGTCGCCTTCAAACAATTATGGGCCTTTTATAGCTTGCTGTTCGGTGTGAGCCAAGGCTCCGTGTTGAAGGCCGTATTTTGACCTATAATTGTTTACTTTTTACCCATTGTGACTTGGATGGAAAGTTGTCTCATTGGCACTCATACCACATAATCTTATTTCTATTAACCTCGCTACGTTCTATATGTCTATCCCAAGTTTGGAGCCTGTAGTTCAGTGGTTGTCGTTGGTTCATAATTATCATAATTGTTTTTCGTAAATTTTTTTGTTAAAAATTAGCCCATTTTTTTTTCTCATTTGAATTATTTTTCATGTCGGGGCCTTTTATAACCGACAATACGGTATGGGTTTTTCTCATTGTTGAAGGCCGTACGACTGCCTATAATTGCTTACATTCACTTCATTTAAACGTTGGTGGATAGTTATCTCATTGCCAATCTACATATTCTTATTTTCATTTGTTAAGAAATAATCGCAGCTTACCGTTATGCAGTTTCGAGACAATCATTTTTAACCGTATATGTTTTCGAACAATGAACTTTTTTTGCATCGATGAGATTGATTTATAATTATTTGGTATTTGATTCCACTTTCAACACTGTTGGCTATTTCATTGTGGCCAGTTTTATTGGGGGAGGATGCCTGGATTGTCCAGAAAGAACAACCGACTTCGGAAATGACTAACAATGATAGTCAATTAAGAGTTGAGTTCGATGACATAGATAATATTTTTTTTATTTTCAATTTTAAAACAAATCATTTTATCTAGAAAAATGCATCGAAGCATAAGTTAGATCTTTAAATATTATTATTATTAAAATCTATGTCTTTCAATTTTGTGTTTAGGAAATGGAACAGTGATTTCAATCAAGGAAAGGCCGGGGAACTTAACCATTTCAAATCATTATCAAACACAGAACATGGTTTCTTTTTATTTAAGTTAATAATTATGAAAATCAAAGTGATCCTAGTCCCTAATAGATCAATTGGAAAAGTTGTACTCATAGTTTAAAACTTTTATACTTTTCACCTAAGGTATTTCTGGTGAACATGAAATACTCGATGTAGCACTATTGGATATAGTTGCATTAAAGTTGGTAAGAAAGTTGGATGTTTTGTCTAGAGGTACAGTTAGCTAAATGTGTGTCAACTTTAGTTGGTGACTTGATTCGCATGAAAATTTCTACAAAATTGCAATTTAACATGTCTATCATGCCATTTCCATAGTTGCAAGTCTAGAATTACAATTTTAGTAAGAGTAGAAATTACAAAAAAAGAAATAATAATATAAGTTCTCGGTAAACCTTAGACCCATTGATTAAGAGATTTGAAACTAATATCTTTTCTTTTCAAAGATTCCTGTAATTGATTGTTTGGAGTCATGTTCAAACAAAGACATTTTTTTTTATATTCAAGTAGAAGCATTTTGGGGTACCCAAGTACCCGGGGTCAGCAATGGGATATTTCTAAATGAGTATAAAATGATAAACAACGTCATTATTGACATCCTGAGATTAATAAAATGACGATGGATAAATAGTTTCATATATTATACAAAGTGAGGCAATAGATTTAACAGGCTCTTGTTCGTCTGCACACCTTCGATACTATTATCTTCTGACTTGTTTGCAAAAATGAATGACCGTATGCAAAAATGCTAAAATTTAAATAAACAGCATTGACAAGATGTCGGTTTATGAGTGCTTAAAACTGTACATATATGGCAATATATACAAGTCTAAATTGAAAACATATATATATATATATGTTTTCAATTTAGACTTGTATATATATATATATAGTTATGTTTCAAAAACAAAATCAATGTTAATACCGGTCAAAACAATATTTAATGATTTTACTACGATCTGTTAAATTGATAACCTTCATTAAAAAGTAAGGATCAATTAGTTTGCTTGGATCGTATCTAAATTGACAGACTCTAGAAACAACATCATCGTAAAATTGTGGCTGTGATATCCCGTTTTGAATAAGAATGTTTACAGCCAAACTTCATTACAAAATATTTGTATCTATGAAAGAATTTAGTAAGATATATAATTAATTAGTATTAAATCTAAAACACGACTGCAAACACGGACATAGCGAACACGTTATGAAATGTACACGACGTAAGAAGGGGCCAAAAAGAACATCATCGTTCAAAAAAGGAAAATTAACGATAGGGAACGAAAAATCGACTGTTTTGTCGTAAATTTTATAATATAGTTTAGTAGGCTACAAAAGTCCCGAAATGAAAAATGTAAACAAATTATGTATGTTGAAGACCACCAACATTTCTTTGTCGATGTCCAAAAGTTGTAAATATTGAATTTATACTATATACAAAACTGTCTAATTTTGTTTTTAAATTTTTGACCTGAAAGTCATATGAAGCAAGTTTCTTGAAATTTTAATGTTATCAAAGTTATTGAACCAATGCATGCATATATACTAAACTAAGTTTTGCATGCACGTTTTTCATATTTATTTCACATCTGATCTATAACGTTTTATCGACAAATAAAATTTCATTCAGTGGTTGTTGATCGCAAGCTAATTAACTTTAAAATATGTAGCCGACGTTAACCAGACACGCCTAGGCTTCGAACCAGATGAAGTATGAAAGGACAACATGGACAAAATGGCCGTAAAGGAATACCTGGAAGACTTGGGTCTAACTCTATCCTTAATACTCAACAGCTTCATCGTAGAATGCCTTCTATTGACGGATCGAAAATACCAAAACATCAGAAAGCATGTGGTGGTAATCCAATACAGAACTCTTTTAGATTGGATTGTAAAGTAGGAACAGATTTGTGGGTATTTGTTCCAGTGAAGTTGTCAATCTACGACATAGTGATATAATTTATTCGTCATATCAAGTTAATTCAGAAGAACGTAAACTGAATAATACCGATGTGTTTTCTGTTGGACAGCAATTATCCTTTGCATCTAATTTACAATCCAAAGCACGTTCCAAACATAAGCCATGCAGCTACGATAAATCTGGTTTGTCTCAAGTTAAGATATCCTCTTATGGATTAAATTACTATGGTATACACGAAGACAATCTTTTTGGACAACAGACGCACAGTGTCAACGGAAATTTCATATCTCGGCATCAGAAATCCGGAACAAAGGGCGACTAGAGTTTTCATCACTGCTGTTAATGAATATGGAATTGCTTGTCAGCCGATTCCTTTAAAACGGGGTTATCGACATCGTCATTTCTTTCGATATAGGATAAATCTAGGAGCTATTGAAAAAAGAACAAAGGAAAATCAATATTACAGTTATACATATAGAGGTGCTGAGTCCTTGTTTTGGAGAGCAGACAAATTGTCTGTTCTTCATGC